AATGTGGGTTATTTTTATTTTTCTAAGTTAGAGACATGCTTTGGTGAGGAAGAAGAAAAAAGCAAAGTGGAAAATACTTTAATGTCTATAATTTTTTTTTTTGGATATTTTATTTTAATTATTATAGTGTTTTAATTATACCATGTATTATTTAATGGTGGTGGAAATGTGTAATATTCAGTGTCAGACGATAATCAACCTTTGTCTTTCCTTTCCGTTCCGTTCCGCCCTGTTCCATCTCATTCCGTTTCGTTCTGTCCCATTTGCATAGCAAACGATACCTCCTCAATAGGAGAGCTGCCACTCCTGCTACTCTCTTCAAGAGCTGTAATCTACTAAAATAATTTTTATTTAGTGTTACGATTTAGTGATGTTTTTCTTTATTTTAAATGTGAGATCTTAAATTCGATTATCATCAAAAACGAATTTGAACTGTATTATTGCTATATCGTAAGGCTAAACCCACTCATTTCATTTCGCTTATTCAATAAATAAAAAACAATTTCTACACGACGTGTCGTCTTTGTGTGGCCCATTTGCCAAGGCAGTCGTGACACTCCGTTGCGTATGCAGCTGCGTAGCACGTACCCATTACTTTCCTTATTTATCACTTTTAGTTATTTGGATTTGTCCCCTAAAGTTTTTGGGATTTTTCAATTTGATCTTTTAAGTTGGTCCTTCAAAATTTGAAAGTACTTTGATGAGGACATGAAGCTCAGACACGAGCATAGTCAGATTAGTTGGAGTTGTCACGCCTTGAAAATCTGGCATGTGACAACATGTCAACATCACATGTGTCGAGCATATAAAAAGTGAGCGTTGTGTTTTCGGATTTGAGGCACATGGCTTGATTTTTGAGGCATGATAGGAGCAAATATAATTTTTTGTCGATAAGTATGATTCCTTTGCATGAATTTCATATAAGTTCAAAATAGAACATCGCTAGTATAAAAAAAAGCCCATAAAATGAGTTTGTTTAAAAGTTAATAGAATGATGTTTTATAAACATTACAGTAACCTATCTGTTATAATCAAAATTCGCTTCATACAACACATGACCTTATCATTGGGTAAGCATTTATTTTAAAACGAACAAAACCAACCAAATCAATTTAATTGGTCTAATTTAGAGTTGTCCTTAAAATCGAAAAAATATACTCCTCACCCTCACTAGTCACCATCGCTTGTAGTATGGCATCGGTGGAACAATTAAAATTTGAGAAATGCTAAAGAGATTCTCTTAAAGTATGACTCTTCATGAATTTTACGACATCTCATGTTTTTAACACAATATTTTATAATGTTAGAGCGGAAACTATGCCAAAAACATAAGATGGTGAAAAGTTCATAAAGAGTTCCACTTTTGAAAGCATTTTAAATTTTTTAAGACCAAAATAGAACAAGCACTAAAAGTCAGGGGTATTTTTTATTTTTCTTAAATTATTTCATTTCATTTCATCGCTTTGGCGAATGTACAGCGTAAGTACCACGCTATAATGTACAACGCGCTACCCTTCGCTTTACCCCCTTCAAAACCTTTTTATTCTCATTTTCACCCTCCTTTCTCTCTACGCCTCTCTCTCTCTCTCTCTCCTCTTTACTCTTGCTTCACTGGGCCTCCAATCTCGACGATCTGAGCTTCCGAGATTTCAATTGCATTCATCTGGGTCGCCGAGCTTCGATTCCACTTCAACAAAGATTCAATCTTTTCCCAATTTCGAAAACGTAAGAAAGAAAGCATCTTTCCCTCTTTCTCTGCCATTTCTAGGGTTTTCGATACCTTCATATGGCTTCCATGGCCGCATCGTCCTACTGGTGCTACGCGTGTAGCCGGTCGATTCATGTTCGGGTTCGGACCCAAGATTCGATCCTCTGCCCCGATTGCGGAGCTGGGTTTATCGAAGAGATCCCGACCCCGACCCCGACCCGATCGTCTCCGGTCCACCACCCGTTTCCCACCGCCGCGATGTTCCTCGACAGCGCCCCGGCTTCGCAGAGTCCGAGCCCGCCTATACTTCGCCGGAATCAGAGAAGCGGCCGCGATCGGTCCTCGTTTAACCCGGTCATCGTTCTCCGGGGCCCACCTGACACAGAATCCGACCCGGGAAGTTTCGAGCTGTTCTATGACGATGGAGCCGGGATGGGTCTCCGCCCGCTGCCGTCGTCGATGTCGGATATCTTAATGGGTTCGGGTTTCGACCGGTTGCTCCACCAGTTGACCCAATTGGAAAACGGTGTCGCGCGGCTCGACCACCCTCCGGCGTCCAAAGCCGCGATCGAGTCGATGCCCGTCATCAAAATCGCCGACAGCCACGTCTCGACGGAGTCGCACTGCGCCGTTTGCAAAGAGGCTTTTGAGCTCGACTCTGAAGCTCGGGAGATGCCGTGTAAGCACATCTACCACTCAGATTGTATCTTCCCATGGCTTTCGATCCGAAATTCGTGCCCGGTTTGCCGGCACCAGCTCCCCACCGATGTGAGAGGCCCGCGTGGCAGTGGCATGGCTTCGCCAGAGAACAATGGCGTGGTTGGAGAAGAAGAGACAGTGGGGTTGACTATCTGGAGATTGCCTGGTGGCGGATTCGCTGTGGGGAGGTTCACCGGAGGCAGAAGAGCTGCGGAGCGCGAGCTTCCAGTTGTTTACACCGAGATGGATGGTGGGTTCAATACGGCCGGTGCTCCTAGTAGAATTTCATGGGCTTCTAGAAGAAGGGCTAGAGAGAGTGGGGGGTTCGCTCAGGCCTTTCGCAATTTCTTCTCTTTTTTCGGCAGGCTGAGAAGCTCGAGAAGTCGGTCTGGCAATGTGTTCAGTAGACCATCACGGAGGAGGAGCCAGCGTTGGGCTTTGGAAGACAACTGATTGAGGTTTAGTGTTCTGTCATTCGGGTTCTTGTATTTTTTATTACGTTGTGCTAATGTCTTTGTTAAGGAAGGCAAAGTTTGTACATTTGTTATTTGTTTGGTGTAAATAGCAATACAGGACAGGAAATTGAAGAGTCTCTCAATTGGGGCTCCGTCGAAGAGATGTAATTTTTGAATTGGTACAGAGGGAATTAGTTTCCACCCATTTGGGGGAAGAGGAGGAAGAGGAGGAGGAGGAGGGTAAGTAAAGCCAAGGGGTTAGAGTGGCCGGTTGGCATTGCATTCGAAAGTAAGTTAACCGAGGTACTAGGCTTTGTGCTATTGTTTGTATTACCGTTAGGATTTTTGGCCCTTGCTTGTTGCAGATTTGCAGTGAATTAACTAGAAGCCGATGGCCTCTTTTTTTTAATTGTTGTACGTTAGCATTGTTATAGTATTGTTCTGGTTTTAGTTGAAATTGATTACTAGTTCACTTCTTGTATGCTGTTGAGTTGTATTTTTACGTTCTGGCAAGATTTGATTTGAGATGCTCTGTGTCGTTTATATTCATCCCTCGTAGCTTGTGACTAATTTCCTAACTTCTGAGATTTTGTATGTTCAAATTCTTATTCCAGTTGGAAATGAGGCGATCGTAATATCACTCACAAATCGCAAATCCATATAACAAACTCAATTTCAACCATTGCCACCATGATTCTAGATGACTAGGTACCAGTTCATTGAAAACCAGGAAGTATTTAGGGGTGTGAGTTTGCTCGTCTTATGTAGCATGGATTTGATATGTGTTTAAGGGCTCGTTTGGTGCCTAGGCGTAATGTATTGAAGGTAGAGGTGAATGTTTTTTCATTACGAGGGGATTACAGCATGAAGGAAACTTATTCCCTCTAATCGTGCTGTTCTGCGGGGATTGGAATCGATAAGTTTCCTTATTGAGTAATTCTTCTGCCTTCAGGTCGGACACAATGTTATCATTTCTCCTAAGAACATAGCGGTTTATCCATTCCAGTCTGAGTCCTAAACAACTAACAAAGGTAGTATTAATATCATCCTAGCTAAAGATCCTTGATGCTACCAAAGATTTTCATTCCCAACCTACAAACATGAATTGAGTTACTGCTATAGGCTATAGAGAGGAGACATTTATGTGGTCTAATCTGTTTGCTTGTAAAAGAAGTATTTCTCCTGGGCCATTCTTTTTTGAGCAAGTTTCTTGGTATGCAATATGTAATACCAAACCTTTTATGTGTAAGAGCCATGTATCTATCTCATGAGGTGGAGAACATTTTCCGTATCAACGAGATAAGACACATGATTGTACACAACGGGTTCCACTCAAAAATCTTTGCCCTTCCATGGAATTTATAGTTGACCATGTGGACATTAGGGGTGCGTTTGGTACGCAGACGGGACGGAACGGGTTGGTACGCAGACGGGACGGAACGGGACGGGAAGGGACGGAACGAAGGTGTAATTTTTGAAAAAGACATGGGGTATATTTGTCTTAAAATGGTAAAACATTGTGTTCCACAGACGTGGAACAAACCCGTTCCATGGGGGGAGGTGGGACGCAAAAACACCCAAAATCTGTCTTGTGGAACAGCCCGTTCCACCCATTTTTGGCGCACCAAACGCGGGACGGAACGCCTCGTCCCGTTCCGTCCCGTCCCGTCCCACGTACCAAACGCACCCTAGATGCTGAGCAATAGCAATGCTAGTCTCGTGCCATCGCCCTCATTGCTGAGGTTCCTGCTCATCCACAGCAATGCACCCCCTGGCTCTTAACGTGCCACTGCCCACAAAGTGCTGCCTCTCAATCGCTGCCACAGCCTGTCGGCAAGGTTTTACTTCATTGCTTTCAAAAGGCACAGAATCTCCCAACAATTCGTTTACTTCCAACCACGAGTTAGTCGAAGTCGGCTCGGACTAGGCCTCCACAAGATTGAGGAAAAGGATAAGAGTAAGGCGCCCGTGGACCTCCGTTATTTTCCTTTTTCTACAAAACGGTATTTGGGGGTGAGATTCGAACCCAAAACATCTTATGCGGATAAATGCACTCAACTTGTCTGCTTTCTATTGAATCAGTGAAGTTGGCGTCAATGGCGTGGACCCAGCCTTATCTCTAAAGCCACAGATATCTTTGAGTTGTGCTGACGTGGCCCTATCCATTTAAATTTAAGCAAAATATCCATAGACCCTGAACCCAAACCAGAACCTTTGCTCTTCCACCCTAAGAAACTCAAATTACCAAATTATCTCCGAGATGGGATCAATGTCTTCACCTCTGACGATGATTTCTGCACAGCCGCTGAAACAGTCGGCAGCAGCGGTCGGTCGGAGCCCCTCCCTCTTCAGAATGCACTCTGAAAAGAAGAAATCGTTGACGGTGGTTGCTGCCATTGGAGATGTATCAGCTGATGGAACGCCCTACCTGATTGCCGGTGCTGCTGCTGTTGCTTTGCTTGGAACTGCATTTCCAATCCTCTTCTCGCGGAAGGACCTGTAATTATTTCATTGGTTTCCTTGTTTGCTAAGCATGATTCCATTTTTATGGATATTTAAAACCCTAATTATGGAAGCTTGAATTGTGCTTGCTGTGTTGATTCTTTAGGTGTCCAGAATGCGACGGGGCAGGTTTCGTTCGGAAGGGAGGGGCAGCTTTGAGAGCAAATGCAGCGAGGAAGGACGAGGCTCAGATCGTCTGTGCTCGTTGCAATGGACTTGGCAAGCTCAACCAAGTCGACAAAAGATAGATCTCTCTATGCCCCTTCCGTCACAACCTTCTCTGTTTTGTAACTTGAATCTCACCTCCTGTCAAAGCTTATAAACAAGATTTCTGTTCAACATTTAGCATAAAACTTTTGGTTTATTATCACCATGCCATATACATTGGCTGTTAGATATATAGTCCGCTTATAAAATGGATTGTTGATGTGTTCTTGATATTGTGTTGATATATAATTGTAGCCAACAAAATGTATCAACATGTTATCACTTAATGACAATATCGGTAGAGAGAAAGGGGATTGCATCCTTCACCTTTTTATTAGAGAACAAAATGTTATGTTCTTAATATTGTGTTGATATCATTGTAACTAACAAAACATATTGACATGTTATCAATAATCTATAATCTATATTGCCTATAAGCAATGTAACGACCCGTCCCAAAAAATTTCGGTTTTTATAATTTTAAAGTGTGAATTAATTTACGAAAATGTCCTTCGAAGCAAAAACGTTGATTTTTATTGACCACCTTGTCATGTCATGCAAGATTCTTGGCGTATCATTGTAGTACTCATCGTTACGAGTATGTAGGCGCAAGTGGAATTGAATTTGGAGCTAGAACGGAGATTTTATGAAATTATGTACAATAAGGGCATTTTGGTAATTTTACAAGTAGAGATATTTTCCACTTTTGACCACCCCCGAGCTGACATGTGGCATCTTCCTGGTGCCTTTTTTCCATCATCCCATGACCTCTCTCTCTAGAACTCTCTTTCTTTGTCTTTCCCCCTTCTCTGCAAACTCCCTCAGCTCTCATCCCTTCCCTCTCAAACTCTCCCTCCCATTCATCACTCTCTCCCTCTCTCTAAGCATAGATGCACACCAGCACACCACCTCGCCACTCTAGCGAACGCTCTAGACCACCACCATCCTCTTTCCATATTTCTCTCTCTCGAGTGTGATCACTGTTCAAAACCAACAAAGGCTGACGATCGAATTCGAGTTACTCCAGTGAGGTTCTCGACAACTTCGACCTTGGTAAGCCTCAGGACTCTCTTAACCTTTACCTTTTTATCCTCGTAGTTATTATTGATCGTGAAGATGTGTTATAAACCGTGGAATTTCACAAAGACGACGTGGGGACTTCTCCCCAGATTTCGACTAGTCCGCAATGTTGCAAACCTTCTTCCGGCCAGCTCCGGCCACGACTCATGTCCCACTTAGATAATTTGGTTCCTTACTTCTTGAGCTTTATTTTCATTTTTAAATCATTGAATTTGGTTAAGAAATGAACCTGTTATGGCCATGTGAAGTTTTCCGGCCATTTCCATGCTATTTCGGCCTTCTTCTTCTTTGGTTCGGCGATCCGCGAGGCCAAACAGGTTAAACCTGGCCAGTAACCCTAACTAGGCCCAAACCTGATCCAATTATTCAACCTAAACCCATAACCCATTACATTTAACCAGTAACCTAGGCCCAATAACCAGCTCAATTCCATAACTCGGCCTAACCTAATGACTTGATCCGACCCAGATCCAATCCAATAACTCAGACTCAAGCCTAATTTCACGGTTGGCGTGTGGGCCACGTATGGGTGTGCGTCATGACCAACGCGTAGAGCACATGTGCCTTCGTCACCGTCCACGGCGGCGCTGGTGACTCAACTCTGCGTGTGGCCTTCCAGGTTGCCGCCCCGTGGTGGCGCGTGGGGAACCCGAGGTCCCTTATTAAGTTTTTGGAAGTGCCGAATCTGAATCCGCTGGCCATTTTCCCAAATTCTGTCGTTTTGGTAGAGTTTTACTAAATGGCCTCTGTACGTGTTTAGGTGCATCATTGGGAAGTGACTCCATCCTCGCTAGTTCGAGCGGCTCTCTGGTAGCAGAATACTTGTGAGTGGATCATTTCTTAATTGCATGTTTTTATAAAATATTAGGTTTGCATGCATTTCATATTTCATGATTTAAGTATGTTTTATATTATATTTTTATGGATTTCTATAATTATGATTTGAGGAGAATTTATGAATTATTTAAATTGCTTTTAAGGAAATATTAATGATTTATCGAATTGACGTTTTACTAAAGGTTATGAATATTTGGATTCACGTATTTGAAATTCTCTGGATTAACGGATGTGAATTATCATGGATTTATGTGTTGAGGCTTTGAGCCTTTGAGCTCAGTGATTAGATATGAGTTTTGAGGTATGTTTTCGATGCTTATCTAATAGGCTATCATACAGTACATACACATAACTGGGTATGTAGACGTCTATGGCCATAGGACACAGTTAATGATATTTATTACATACCCTTAGCTTCACTAGCCTGGGGTTAGTGTCGGTGTGATATGTTATATGTATATGTTTCTTCTCTGGCATAACCCATAATTGTACAGCTTCACCTTCTGGTGATGGACCCCCTTTCTTCTCTGGCATGACCCGGAGTCATACAACTTCACCTTCGGGTGATAGACCCACTGTATATATACATACATATATATATATATATATGTTATATCCTATTATCTGGCGTAACCCAGAGTCGTATAGATTCACCTTCGGGTGATAGACCATGGTTTCTTCACTAGCGTAACCCAGTATCGTACAACTTCACCTTTGTTGATGGTTATGGCTTCGGGCCACTATGATACCCCTAGTGAGTACATGATTGATGAGATTTACGGATTTGCCTTCGAGTGGCGATATTGCCTTTACTGAGCACTGGTTTATACGTACTTGTTTTACGAACGTTTTTCATTGCATGTTAGAGTTTTCAGAAAACTTACTATGTAGTACTATATATGTGTTTTCAAATCAGGGGTTAGTATGTTTAGAAAGACAATGGTTTTCTTATTAGTAGTACTATTATTATAAACTTTGGTCCACTCACTCTTTTGGTTTTGGGCCCTCTTCATGATTTAGATTCGAAGCACACAATCCTAGCGTCATGGCACTTCTGCTTAGGCATCTTCGAGCCTCTTTTGTGTAAGTCCCATTCCTCGGTTCGTATCTTTATATAATAATAATTTTTTCACATTATTCTTGATTAGTTGTATGCTTTGAACAGTTCTGCATTAGTATATTTCCTTCTAATCACATATTTTTATTTGTATGCATGTTTAAATTGGTTTCGTCACCCTCGGATGTCGGCCAGCACGTGTCTACCCTAGTATATAGGGATATCGGGTTGGGACATGTTAGTTTGGTATCAGAGCATACTTAGGATCCCCTCATACTTTAGTAATATGTCGGCTTTGATAGCATTTGGATGTCATGACTTCTGTTTAGTGATGACTTTCGACACGGTGTGCAATCCTCATTCTGCCTGAATACTCACATCTTATTGAAGAATAATAATTTCGTGTTGAGATTGTGCCTCAAGTTTGACGAAATTGTTTGATGGATGACTTTCAATGTCAGACCAATACTATGTGCCATTCGTTCCCTAAGAATGGCAGGCAGAGTCGGTTCTACATAAAAATGACATGAATTCGAGGAAATCTTAGTGTGGGGGAAGTTTGATTGGGACCAGTTGAGGATCAAAGGCGATGATGGTACTCTACAGCATGCATTCATATGGAATGGCGGGCATAGGCGTATCTGTTAGGAAATTGCTTAAAAACTCTGAAGTCTGTGTCAGAGAAAATTAAGAAATCACCAGTTGTAGGCAAAGTTAGAAGGTATATGTAGGGTAGACTGAATTAGTTTCCTCGGGTTTATCGTTTCCCCTGAAGGAAATAATGTGGACCCTCAGAAATTTTCTCCGTGATTGTTTTACCGATAATATCCTTGTCTACTCCAGCCACGAGTTCAATTTAATAAACGTCAACAACCAACTTTATACCAAAATCCTCAAATGTTGACCTTGATTAGATTTCGTACCTTACTTGGAAGACGTGAGTGTAGTAGAAGATATTCTTACCAAATCTAGAGTTGTGACGGTTGGAAATCGAAAACCTTCTCGAGTGTCGTGAATTACAAAATATCATTGGTCTTGTCGATTTCTATCAACAGTTGCCAACGATTCTTTGACCATAATCTAAACCCTCATCTTCGGCTAGGAAACAAGTTAGTTTTGTTCAAGGTGTTGCCTCACCCTACTATTGTTCTTACACTCTTCGATGACACCAATAAATTTCAAATCCGACGGTGATGTTTACTGAATGATTTGCCGTGTGATGATGCAGCATGATCAAGTAACGTTTATGCCTTTCGACATTGGAACAACATGAAGTGAACAGCCCTATCTACTACCTCCAGTCAACAGCTACCACACTTACTTGAAAACCTGATGACACCTCTCCGTGGAGACCACCATGATGATTTGATGTTTGTCGACCATCTCATTCAATGTACTATCCATGAATCCGTGAAGACTATACCTTGAACTAGTTGGCCGAATTCCTCATTCTTGAATCTTTCAGACCTTTTGACATTTTGATCCACATCGGCTCTGTTCGCAATCTCAGTTTCACCTCCTGGTACTAAAAGATATCTTAGTCAATCTTGGGTTACCTTATTACTCTTCGTATCATTTTTGAAGTAGACAGACTGTCCAGGAGGACCACTCAGGCGTTGAAGTTTTTAGTTGAGATCATCAGTCCTTCAATCACCCAATCAAATCCTATCTAGTGAATCTTCACCATTGGTGAGTTATTATTCTTGAAGCTACCATTGTAATGAATAGTTGTATGCTCTGAACACAGTTCTACATTAGTATATTTCCTTATAATCACATATTTTTATTTGTATGCATGTTTAAATTGGCTTCGTCACCCTTTGGCCAGCACATGCCTACTCTGGTATATTGGAATATCGGGGTCGGGGCAGGTCAGGCAAAGTGTTGATATACTCACCCCATAGTCTTGTTTCTCAATCGACTTTTTAATGAAACTTTTATTCACACATTTTTTATTTAACAAAGTTTAATATCAAATTTAACCATATGTAAAAAGACTTCAAAAGCTCTGTTACAAATTAATCCTCTTACATATTCTTTGAAGTCAAAGAAAAAAAAAATACTTAAAATGAGAAATGAATCAAACATCCCCATTTTGTCTCCTAATCCCTCACCCCTTTCTAACTCTGTCATCCCCCTCCATCTTCTCTCTTCCGTCCACCCGACCCACCCCAAATTCAGTCTCTTATTTTCTCCTGACTTTTCAACCCTTAATTCTATTAAGAATAAATATGGATATGAATCTTAAATGCATATCTGATAGGAGAAGGGGACAAAACAAAACGCTTTGTGAATCAAAAGAGAGTGAAAAAACGACCTGATCATTTGTTTACAATTCAATAAAATATTAAA